GAGATCATGAAACAATCATAGTTCTTGAAGAGTAAGGAAAGATTTCTGTAAAGCCTAAACTATTTTACAACAAAGTTGTAGTCCCTCAGGCAATCTATTGTTTCCACCACTGTTTTCTTTTGTCCAAGAACTCCAAGTATAATGAAGTATAGGGCTGTGCAGAAATCTCAGGAGTAATTGCAATGAAATTCTTGTTTCTATGTCATACTGACCTAAATAACTATATCCTGACCCAGAGGGGAAAAAATTCCTACCTCTTATGAGGAATGGCCTCTCAGGAAGACCAAGAACTCCAAGCCTACTCATCAGCCAGGTGGCCCACTTAGTTAGAACTGATCCTGGTGACTGAGGTGACTAGGGTATTGCAACTCCCTCCCCCCTCCCCCTTTTCCTGGTGGAGAAATTAGCAAATTTCAGGTTACTTCCTGGAATTTCATCAGGTCTCCCAACCTATTCACCATTGCAAATTTATACCTGGTGAAGAGGGTACTGTATTGTTGAGTGTGAAATTTTGTATCCAAATAATCCATTACAGATTTAATTTCTCATGTGTACACAAGATTTTCTATTGATTTTAAAGTTGTTCTTTTCCCTTTATCAGCACTTGGAACATTTATGTGTCAGAAGTTAAGTAAGTATGCAACAAAATTTGTTGGTCAATTTAAAAGGAAAAAACAGGTCCTTCAAGTTCATGTTAGTATCCTTTGGGCATCTAGTTTCTCACTCACTTTTTTGTTTTTTCAATTTGTAGGACTTGATTTTGATGTGCACATGAGTATTTTTGTGTCACCAATTGTGTTCCCTTTGGCCTTTTCCATTAATGGTATGATGCAAGAATATTTCATTGAAGAAAATGTAAAATGGTTTCTGTGTTTGCATAGCCTGATGTAAACCACCGTGAGGTTGGGAGAACACAAAATAAACATAGGAAACCACGACGTGAAGCGGAGTGGTTTCCAGCTTATCTCGTGTTCTCCCAACCTCCCAAGTGTTTACATCAGGCTATGTAAACACGGAAACCATTTTTACATTTCTTTTATAAAATAACTAATGAAAGAGCCTCCTTTTCAATGAAGGAAAGCGAGGTGCTTGTTGTTGTTGTTCATTTGACTTTTTCGGCTGTTTCTTGAATACTGGGAAAATTAAACTCCAAAGAAAAATTGGGAAAATCTTCTTCCTTCCATTACTGTACTCAAACAAACTTAAAGAAACTGAGTTACTGCTAAATAAATAGCAGGGAGAACTCCGTGGAGAAGATTCAGTATGAAAACTGTGTTTACATACGTTCATGTAAAATGGTTTTATGGCCAATCAGAGCATGCGTTTTCATTTGAATTATTTTATAAACGGCACTCTCATGCAAACCAAGCAGTGTCCATACTGATATCCTTAACTTAAATCATGAAACATTCCCTTTGGTACCAGCATAGATTAAAACGAGAATCAAAATAAATCACATTATGGTTTAAGTCCCTCTGACCCCTAAGAGTGACTAGCATCTAATTTCTCTTTACATTATGCCCCTGAATCACACATACAGGTTATGAGAATCTAAGAATATAATCACCAATTAAAGAAGCTCTTGGTTGTTTAACAAATTCTCCTTGTCACCTCTGGAAGTGTATAGAGAATATACATACTCATGCTTTGATGAAAGGGTTAAGCATCTATGTATTTATTTTCTAGCTATTCAGTTACAAGTTTACAATGGTATACTAATAATCAGTGATGCAATTAACATTAAAATCAGAAGGTTTGAGATTCAAATCTGAGTAGGGACTCAGAATTTTTTCTTTGTGGCGCTATTGAGACATATTTTGACATCTTTCCTCTACGCTTCCTTTCATTTCTGTTAGCTGATTTCCAGCGTGAGAGAGAGTACTTTGAAGATCTAGCACAGTTTAAAGGTGCTCTGTTGATATTGTTTTTTTGCCATAGGGACTGGCTTCATTCAGCAGGTAATATTTCTCAGTGCTTTAAGCAAGTGTTGTTTTTTTTAGAAAGGATCAGTATGATGGACACTTTTAATACTGGTAAAATTTATCTAAGTAACAATTTGATCAGTGGTTAGCTAAAATTACAGCTATTTTTCATATCTGTCATTGATAGTAGAGGAATGATTCACTGTAATCATTGTATCCCTAGAGTAGTTAGTTGGTTACTTCGGAAATGGAGAAAGTTTAGTAAAACACTCAGAGAGAGGTTTAGTGCTCTTATCAATGATGTGCTGCTCTAACAAACGGTCAAAATTTTAGTTCTCTCTCACTTGGTTTCTCACATTCTCAAGTTCTGCAACATAGTTGCCAATTGAAGATAGTTATGTATGAAAGTGGATCCACTTGCTAAAACTATTTTAGATGATAATTAAATCCCAGTAAATTTAAGCTCTAAGAATTAGCATGATTATATTTTTTTAAAAAAAGCATCCTTTTCAATTGTGTGGAGGTGTAACAGGCTGTAAAAATGATTTTAAGAGAGTCATAATTTTTAAGACCAACAGTATTTTAAAATGCCATTGGTGTGTTAGCTTTTAGTGATGGTCTTTTAATTGTTTACATTCATTAACTGTAATTTCAGGTTTACCGAAAAGAGTTTTTGAAAACTGTAAATAACAAGTTGAAAGGTCTGGTATTGAATATCAAAGAATTTTTGTTAACTGAAAAACATATCAGGAGGAACTTTATTCTCTCAGTAAGTTATGTTTGTCTATTACTTTTAACTTTAGAAAGTGTGAATTATTCTTTAATTGGTGGTAATTCATTGTCTATGTCTTATGCCACCAAGTGTTACAGTGTCGATGTAGAGCAGGGTTGTTCCTAGACAAAACTCAGAATCGTCAGTAAACAACAACAAACTGTTTTATTTCCGCGTAGTTGACTTCTTGTTTTTATAGCACTAAGCTTCCTCGCAAATCTCTCTCTGTTTGATGGAACTGTCGCTCTTATATACATAAAGTATTAGGATCTAGAAACTTCTCTAAAGAACTAAATTTAGTAGATTAACACGGTTTCTAAATTTGAATAATTGTGTAAAAAACAGAACGTTCCAGAATGTTCTTTTTACCAGAAGGTCACGTCTAGATGACTTCGGTTCTAGAATGTTCTATTAGAATGTTCTGGGACTTTACTTAGACAATTTTTCGTAACACCAAGATTAAGACATTTTTCAGAGCTCTAAAAGGAAATTTTTGGCAGTGTATAGCTATTTTCATTCATTCTTGTCCTTGGATTTATGTTGAATAATAGTCACTTTGGTCACAATGTCTAACATTTTGAAACAAAATGGAGCTTTTGTACAGTATCTCAAAGTGAGCTCAGGTTTGATTTTCCTCTTGATGATTATGGACTCTTTGTTAAAGAGTTTGATTCTCTTTTGGTTGATCTTATGTCTGACCTTGCACAGCATCAAGCTACAGGTCTTGGTGGTCAAGACAGTTTGTTTTGTATGGCATAGATTATGAAAGGAGGTGTGGTATAAATCCTTTAGTGACTTTCAATGGAACATCTTTTCTCCTTCTAGTTAACAAGGAAATGTAAGAAAACTTGGAAGGGGAAGTAAGCAGTCCATCAGAAGTCTCTTAGTGGCTTTACCCTGCAATGCTTCAATTGTATTCTGAAAATCTCCGTCCTTGGGACAAAATTTTTACAAGCTGCATCAATTCAAACCAATATGATTTCAGCAGGAAATAGGGAAGAATTGTATCTCACAGATTTCAAAGTTCCCAAAGTTCTAGAGATCCATTCCTTTCTCTCATTTTTTCTTGTCACTAAACATTCGGGGATTTCATGGGCAGTGATTGCTCATAAATATTTTCCCTTATTTCCTGGGGCACTTCCATTAGGCTTGCATGTGCATGTGTCATCTTTTTTTCTGTCACAAGTGCTGATGCAAGTGTTGGTGGCTAATGAACATATCAAGGAGACAGTGAAACAAAGTATGACATTTCAAGCTGACATAATAAGGTTAAATGACGTATTTGTCGGCTATATTGAACTAGAGCTTATTTACATGTGTAAATTTCAGGTTATTTATGAGGATTTAAGTGACATAAGCCAGCTGAATGACAAGATGAGAGTCTCAAGTTTGCCACACAATGAACCTTTAATAACCAGACTAATTCACTATCACAAGTAAGTCTTTGAAAAATAAATAGTAACACTGTTTCTCGCATAGAAGTATTGACAACTTACAAATTCAACATCATTGATAGTCTTTAATAAGTTTAAGAGAATCACAGAGCTTTGTGGGAAGTTTGTTCATTGGTTTCATTTTGATTAAGTAACAGGACTTTAACCAATCAGACTCTCACTACGCAGCTGTTCAATTTCGAAATCTCTCGTATAATTACAGTTAAAGTTGCATTCCATGCAGTCCAATTACCTTTATCACTAACAATCCACAGTGTCCAATCAGGTCTCAAATTAGATTACAGATGTCCATCACGTTCTAGAAATTTCTTACAGGTTGGACTAAATGAGGCCTCTTCTTACATATTAATTCCAGCTTTACTATTTAATGCATAATGAATTTTCTCACTTGTGGTACACTTTCAACTTACGATCCTAAGCCTCATGTGTCACGCATTTGAAAGACTGCGCGTAATCAGGGAATACCGATCGCCACGGACCATCCGCTCCTTCACCAAAGTGTTTATCTTCCTTATGCCCATCGTTCTCTCTCCGTACTATGTTCATATGGGTATCAAGTCGGGTAACACATGGAGCCCGTATTACATTGCTGTGCTGACATCGTTCATATTTGGAACATTACAAGGAGTTCAAGATGTCTTAGATGATCCATTTGACGGCATTAGTGAGGATGATATTAACCTTGGACCGGTAAGAAAGTCAGTTCAGGTTTTTTTGGGGGGGCGTTCCCCGCTGTTTGAGGTATTCATAGAGCAATTCTTATGTTATTGTCGAAATAAAGTTGTACGTTGTTTTGCCTTTACTTTACTCCATGATTGGTTTAAAAACTTCCCACCCTCAACCAATCAGACAAAAACCAATCAGACGCAAAACCAATTACGTAACGTAATCCAATCAGTCGTGTTTCACCCACCCTTAACTTATTTTAGTTCGAGTTCTCATGGTTTTTTTACATGTGATCTTTTTTTTCATGTGATCTTTTTTTTTTTTCCGATTGGCTTTTGGGATTACTTCGGTTTTGGTATTACATGTTCGTGAGGACACTAGAAATCGTGCTATCCTTCAGAGATCTTGGGTTTGTCTCACAATTAGGAATTAAGGGTTAAGCCAAAGAATACAAATCTCCTGCTTTGTTTTGTGTTTTATTTGTTTTTAATTTGTTTGTCTTTTTATTCAAGGGATATAGAGGTTAAACGGGTATTATTATAGAATAATTTGGTTTTATCAAATGGAGTTGATGATGTAAATTGGCCACCGTTAAGATTTTATATAGCTTACGTTTCGTTCGCCCTTAATATTCTAATCTTTCTCCTTTTCGATTAGCTGGAAGACTGGACGTGTCAATCGCTCCTCACAGATAGAACAATTACAGTCGGCCGCTTTACAGTGACAACAAAAGGACAGGAGGGCAGGAAAATGGAGTATAGTGATATTGATGAGGACGAGGGACGAAGTCCCATGCCCTCTCATCCCGTCAAGGTGCCACATAAACGAAAGTCTATCCTGAGAAAACCGAGCTTCCGTAAAGAGGAGCACTTTGAAAACTGTGCTCAGGCCCATCGAACAGCTCCCCTCTATCCAGCAGCCGCTTCTCGCATAGAGGATCTGACCCGCCGTGGGCTCACCGGAAGCACCACGATTCTTCCGGGGATGAAGTTAAAGAGATCTAACAGTGATACCTTAACGGCGAACGCCTCGAGCGCGTCGCTTGGCCAGGAGTTTTGTAGAGCTCAAGAAGCAGACGGAAGTGGACGGGATTCAAAGAGGGTGACGTTCTTGACCGAAAGTCGGGATTTGTATGATGGCGACGATGAATCTGAACACGATAACAGCGTTTTAGTTTCAACCAGGAGCCTCTCTGATCCGCCAAAATATTCGCGACCAACTTGGATGTCAGATGAGAGCGAACCGTTGATCTTGCTGGACAGCAGGTCTGGTTATTCCGACATGGGAACTAGTGCTCTTAACACACCTGATAGGGAGAGAAAGAACCTTGGTTTAGATTTCTACGAAGGACTTAATAAGTCTCCTGGTACAAGCTTAGTCGATGCTCGTAAGGTTAAAAAACATAGCAATCCACCTCTGGCGAATTTGTTTTCGGTAAATTCGGTTGAGTCAGCTGATTGTGCTGACGGACCAGTTCCTCCTAAGCCAAACCAACCAATATCAATGCCTTCATCCTTACAAAACTTATTTGGTCCACCCCAAAATCAGAAGCTAGAGAAACCCTCCTCTGGTAGCAAGTCATTTTCCTCTGAAAGACCACGCCCGTTCGCTCTTCCGATGTCTCCCTTAGCACGTGAAGAGAGTTCATCTAATTCTCGTTCTTTTCCTGCACCTCAGGTCAGCCGCTCGGCTCCATGTTCACCAGAGCAAGAAAGACGGAACACCCTCCGACAAATTTCCGATCCAGTGACCCTTCACCTGAAAATGCAGCCGTGCTTCCTTCAAAACCAGGAACTCGCCAGCGGAAAACGTCAGCAAATATTCCGCTCTCGAAAAATTCCAGCGATTCACCATCTGGAAATTCCAGATTTGCGGTCGATACCACATCACGGACTCCTACGGTGCAAGAAGCGGAGTCATTGTTGTCACCTTCCAGAAGAAAATCGTCATCCGGAAGTTCAAGATTGTTGGTTAGCTCTGATCCGCAGGCCCCTGCGGTAAACAGTTCAGCGCAAGTTGCTCAGGCTCCTTTGGCAGATGAAAATTTTTCAATTGAAACCCCGGCACCTTCTAAACCTGTAAATACGCCGATATCGAGGGTGAGTGTTTTTCAGTCAGCCTTAAAATGACGCATCGACCGCTTCAGCGGTCGGTTGTCGTGCCGAACATTGGTGCTCATTCTCCCGCAAACTCGAAGGAACTCGTAATTTGGGACCGTTCATCAGTTATCGCCTGAGGGATTGGGAAATGTTGGTTGTATCATGACAAAATTTACCTGACTCTCCCAGAAGGCTTTGCAGTACTCCTATAATCCTCACTCATTGGTAGTTACTGACAGTCGATTTTCTATAGTCACCCCTTGGTACTCTCCCTCCGTTCCTCCTGAAAACAATGCCCCCCCCCCCCCCAAAAAAAATACTCCGTTCCCTCCCCCCCCTCCCTTTCAGGGAAAAGTATTGACCATTCCCTAATAAATTTTGGTCACCTTCTGTAAGTCTTAGGTTATTTTAAATGAGGTCTCCTGATGGCCTAGAATTCTCAAAAGTACAGAAACTATCGTCAGAAATATTGGTAAGGGGGACTTTCGAATCCTAATTTCAGTGAGGCGCACTTAGGAACTGAAAAACTTCCTCAAAATGTAGACTCACGTCAATCTTTCAGTCCTATGATCAGGAAGTTTATTCTCCTAAGTGATGGTTATACAATTCTTTATTGTATACTCAGGAGAATCTGGCGTTATATCATTATAATGTCGCCCAGATGGTAATTTTCTCAATTCTCATTACTCGCTCTCCTGGGAGTGAAACGGTTTGCTCTTGTTCGTCGTCATTAGAAATGTGGTTCTTTCCAGTATTGAACTGTATGCAGTATGCAAATTCTCCATACTGTACTCTATACATTTCCTAATTAAAGGAGAATTTGTTTAAGAATCAAGAGCTTCTTTAATTTGAGATCATTTCCTTTATTCTCATGGCCTTTATGTGTGATTCAGGGGTGATATTTTAAGGAGAAATTAGATGCTAGTCAGCTTATGGTTGCTGCTCCAAGGGTCAAGGGGTTACCTGTTTCAGGTATGATTTTTACATATCCCTCTAGGATTAGGAAGTGGGATAAAGGATTAAACATTATCCAGAAACTATGCCACTGATAATATTCTTTTCCTTTGCAGTTCAATGTTGCAAAACGATCAAACAGTGTTATTGATTCTGAGAGAGAAGACAAACCCTTGTGTCGTCGAATATCCCAAATTACGGGTTGACGGACTCCTCCCCTCCTCCGTCAAGATTCAAAGTAAACTGTCCACAAAAAATATCACAAGAGACTAAGCAACAGAGCGAGGATGAAGAGGAACCGGATTCGTTTCAACTCTTAACTGTTGATGGTGGTAGTACCGAGGTTTTCATTTAGTACCGTAAGGAGTCTGGTACTAGTCAAACGAGAGATAAGGGCCCAGTCTAAGTTCTTGGATTGGGATCAAAATATACGGCAAGGCCTAGGTCGGAGATCCAACGAAAGTTTTGTTAAACGCTGATCTTGAATTCTTTCAAGAGGATGATAACGTGCTTCGTTTCCCAGTGTAGAGGGAAAAATTTCTCAGTGACCTCTGATTCCTCAAAGTCGTGCGATTGCACTGTTTACTCATCACAGGGGTGAACTGAAAGTTTTTTTTCTTTCTTCCCTTACCTCCCTTATCTCCCCGTGGGGGAGGTTCATTAGAGCGTTAAAGACATTTCACCACAGGCATTGATTCAGGTTGAAATCACTCGGAGATAGTTATAATAATTACCGGAAGTCATCAGTTATTTTGTTCACGAAAGTTTTTTTAAATGAAATTGTTGCCAAACCTGATTTGGGATATTGTGATATTCTTTTGAGAGGTTTATTTGGCCAAAAGCTGTGAGATGACTGTGGCATCAGCTGATGTTAAATAGTTACGAATGCAAATTCCAGTCAGATGTTCATGCAGACATGTTTTCCCTTTTTAGGAGTCCAATAAGAGCAATATAGGAGATATTTTTTTGTACTTAAGCTTTTCCAAACTATTTTCTTAACTTCGAGAAGGTGGCTATTTCGGCTTGAAGTTGTAATAAAACGTAAAGCTAAAAGTTAACCCGGTCATCTGTAAAGGTATTCAATCTACGGCCATCTTGTTCCTATGGCGACTGGAAGAAACATCGGCATGTAGCGAGAAATGTCGATATCTCTGATTACTAATCATTTTGCAAAATGATACTTCCTCGAAATTTCATGATGAAGGATTTTGAAGTAATCCCATAAATTGTCCGAATTTCATGCCATGGGAAAAATCCCAGGGTTAGGTCCTTTTTAGGAAAAGTAACCCTAAGCTTAGATGACTCAAGTGTAGGTCCGCAATGATTAAAATGCCCGAAGGAAAATATAAAATTTGCGACTACTGTAGGGACAGATGATTATTTATTGCCGGAGGGGGGAGGGGGGGATGGCGGATTTTGTTAGTGTCACGATAAAGTTCAGCTGATCCTTCATTTGGCTCTGTGATGCTCTCATGAACCCCACTCTCCCTCTCTCCTTTTATTGGCAGTCTAAGTTGGCGACGACTGATCCCCCTCTGCCCCCCTCCCAAAAGAATCCTCAACCTCAATCTTCCACCCTCCCCACCGGGTGATAAATAATGACTCGTCCCGTTGTTACATGACACAAATTAGTATCGATACTTCGACGGAGGAAGCCGGGCTCCTCTGGATTTGATCTTCAAGTACACACAGAGAGCTCATTTGCTGCGTGTTACAATGCGACCAACTGGCCGTGATTTCTGATTTACACCTTCCTCGTTACGTGCATCCAATTGTCAATCCTTTGCACTGTCCACCCTCTATTTCTTATTATTTCAGCACCAAGAAGTTGGTCCTATATTTATTCAAAGTCGTATTCTTTTTTTATATAAAAATACTTCTATGATCGCTCTCGGTAATGACGAGGTTTATCTTAGAAGCAATATTCATTCTAAATGAATTAATGACAATTAGCGTTGCAACAGCATTGTGGAGGCATGTTTGAATCAATTAACGGAACCGTCGGTGCATTTGAGACTTGAACAGAATTTAATCATTAACAAGTTTTGTTTGATTATAGAACAATAAGCAATTGACACACCTCCAAATAGGAGCAGATTAATTCTTGTCCTGTCAAACAAGAAGCAGTGTTTATTTTCCGCTTGGAAGACGTTGGTTTTCGCTCATTCGGCCGCAACTTTTTACGTCGTTCAGTGACAAACAAGAACTTGAACTGTTGGGTTTCTCTCTACCGCTTTCGTTGGAAAAAAACTTTGGCTCTTGATTTTGAAGGTAAGTTTCTTTGTTCTTCTCTACGGGGTAACGACAAAGGAATTTAACTCAATATAAAATTCACCACAGTATTCGTACGTTTCTTTGGCGTTCTTGTGGTCATGTCGGCTCAGAGAATGAAAACGTTGTGTTCCATCATGCATGCGTTAGAGCTCGGAGACAACTTATATACCGTCTATCACTAAATTACCGTCCTGTCATTTTTTTTTTAGTTTAGTTTAAGTGAAATCTTAGATAAGCTGAAGTGTCAATAGCTTTTGTATTCATACCGGAGTTGCTACGAACTGAATTTAAGAAATGAGGCTTAAAAACTTGGCTCTTTTTTTATCGTAAGGTCAAACAGAAAGCGCTGTCCGAAGGAAATCGGATCATAAATCAAAGATTAAATGTGACGTAGCTTTTAGAGAGATCAATCTAAGTTCACAAAGGGGGAGATTCTAGGTTTGAGTCCTGACTTGGTTATTAGTTTTCCGATTATAAATGTGTCCCGAACGGAAGAAAAACGACTTTCTCCTTATATTGCGTTTGAGCCGGAACCTGTCACAATGGAGTTTGACAGGCCCTTCTTTTTTCACCAAGATATTATGAAGAAGTACATTGCTTTTCTATTCTAGCGTCTACAGGAACAGTTTAATTGTCTTTTTGGCTTCCTCTCTCTTCTCATAGCGAGTGAAACAGCTGATTTGATCGCCAAGACTCCGCTTCTGATAAAACACGAAAGAAAAACACATTTAAAGAGGAAATATGAACGATCAGCGCGGACTGAAGGATTCAACGCTCCGATTTTTTATTTTCCTCTTAAATAATCCCAAATGAATAAACTTCCCGCATCAAAACAACGATACAAAAGCAATGTTTGCTCTAGAGGGAGGAGCCGTGGGCGTAGTGGTACTTTTGTTAAGACCTGGGTCAGCTCGCAGTCCACTCTTATTTACATTGCAACATCTCGAGTAAATCGGTATACCGTGAAGACTGTGAACGCTCCCTCTTTTTTTTTTTTGTTTTGTTCACTTCCTTGGTTCTTTTTTAATGTGTGTTTCTTTTCAGTGCTCTATAAATAAAATTGAAATGATCTTGTCATGTCAGTTCCCAGTCAAAAAATCATGACTACGAGTTCTCAGGAAGAGAAAAAGCGACACAAAGTCCAAAGTGAAAGTACGCCTATCGAGGAAGAAAACGAAACCTCAAGTCCTTCCATTTATGGCGTGGTAGCAGCTCACTCACTATCAAAAGATATCAAGCAAAAGTCACTACATTTGATTAAAGTCAAAAGACGACACGGGGACTGGGGACAGTTCGATTTGACGCATGCGTGGTCACCGGAAGACCCGTCGAGTAACATGGGAAGTCGGCATGGTAGTGGACTGGCACGAGAAACAACATTGGTTGATGATAATTTGACTATGGCTAGACCCTTTGTTATGGAACCTCTGAGAACATTTCAGGTTTGATAAAACGCCCGTGTGTAAGGCCAACCCCTTTCCAAAAGAGGATCCAGGGGGAGGGTTTGGGCATCCGAACTCCCCCCTCCCCGCAACCCACTGCGACTTCCCCCCCCCCTCAACCCACTGCGACTTGTTTGTACTACTCGTCTGAATTCAAAATTCTTCCAACGACAGGATCACACTAGATTCTGTCTGTTAAGCTTTAGGCTTTCGTCTATGCCTCGCTTACGGGTCCTCTAACATAGCGTCTAACCAACGGAGTTCAAAACTGTTGTAATCATCTTGCGCAAAAAAGTATCCTCTTCTAGGCCAGTACCTAGTTTATATACGATTAACTCAAATCCCTGAAGTCATTGGCCCTTTACATTGAGGTAGAGAGAACGAAGATAGCTTTGTATAAAACCTCAATTAAAATGATGACCTTCTTACCCCTCCCTCCCCCCCCCCACCCCACTTACACCCTCCACTGCTGAAGTTTCAGAATAGATGAGCGGCAACTGAGATTTCTCTCTGACTTGTTACTTGTGTCGTTAGTGATTGAGTGTGTATTTAAAAAACACGAAGGCAGCACAGTCTAAAAACGGATGAAAACTGCCAGAAAAGAAGGCGCGCTGCTAACTTTTAACAGCAATCTCCTTCCGCTTTCTCTCTGCTCTCATGAACATCCAGTTAGCCAAATTATTTATGCATCTATGCCTTTTCGCTTCACACAGGAACACAGAGTCATACCAATCATTCAACACGTTTTGGAAACAAACCTGGCTGAACAGAAATACGACCCAGTCTTCTGCAAAGATGTCACCGTTAAAATAACTGAAGAGATCAAGGAACGAGTAAAGAAACTGTGTTATCCTCGATACAAATTCGTTTGTCACGTGATTGTGGGTGACGTCAATAAACAGGACGTAAGAGTTGTGAGCCGGTGCGCATGGGACGCAGCGGTAGATCGTTATGCGCAGTCTGAATATCGAAGCTTTTATCTGTACGCAGTAGGAATTGTTTATGGAATTTACTGTGAATAAGATGTGCTATTGAAGCTGCTTTAGGACTTAGATATGAGCATCTTTTCTCCCTTTCCTTTCCAGAGACAAACATGAAAGTAAAGAAATACCAAATAAACGGTCGCGTTCTAATAATACTTCGATTTAAGAATACACTCACTAAATTATATGCACCAGCATATAAGATCAGAGTATCTGGTTCCTTGTATAATAATTTTTATAAGAGTTTGCTTTGTCAATCAAGTTTGATCAGAAAAATCCTGTATTGAAGACGCAACTATTAAAAAGTCAACTACGTTCCCAATGACATATTATAATGACATAGGAGGAAATAATGGAGAGAAAACTGGGAACGAAGTTGGAGACGGTTCAATGATTAACGCAAAATGGTTCACCTTTTATGAAGAAAACTCGAGGGAAGAGAAGTCTGAACATATAAATAAAAATCTGTAAAAACTGAGTGTTGAGTTTTTTGCTTGTTTGCTTGTTTGTATTCTTACTACCGTTTTGGACTTGATATCCCCCCGCCCCCTCCGAAATGTTCGATCCATCTTTTGTCAACTGAACACCAGGAGCATGCCATCTTATCTGTCAGATCTGATTAAAGGTCTTTGAAAATTTAGGAAATCTGCTCAATACTCAGGCATTAGTATCTCGTTCAAGCCATTGCTGAGTTACCGTTGGCCTGCAGCGCAGGTGTCTTAAAGGGGCGACTCAACGTTACAAATTAGCGATCCTTTAATTGACCGGCCATGTATGATTTAGAGTAAAGGTGGACGGTGGGGGAGGGATGGGAAGGGGTGAGATAATTTCTATTTCTCCACTCCCTCTCCTCCCCTTCCTCTTAACCTTCGCTCATTTCCTTAGGACAATTTTTTCTCTCCCTAGCCTCACGCTGCTGCAAAAATTGAAGATGGCAGCTCATGGCAGCTAAGGAAATAATGAGCATTTGCTCTCCAAAATACTACACCCAATGCCCCTTATTCAGGGAAACAATCTCATGCCCAGAGTTTCTCTCCTTTGCCCTCCAAGGCAGAAGCTAGATTCGAGAGAAGACGGTTATGTGAAGAACCAAGGGAGACTTTTGTCTGAGTGGTTGCTTAACCCTTTACACCTTAACATCAGTAGGCATATTCTCCATACTTTTTTCTATACATTTTCTATGATACTGACTATGAGAATTTGTTTAACAATCAAGAGCTTCTTTAATTAGTGATAAGTTCCAATATTTCCGTGGCCTTAATGTGTGCTTCAAGGATGAAATTAGATGCTAGTCACTCTTAGGGGTAAAGGGTTTATGTCGTTTTTGTCCAGTTTCCTTACTGCGCGCGGCCGGCAAATAATGATAGACAAAGATGGCTGCCGAAAGGGAGGCTTTTCGTGGTCCTTCTTCTACTTCAATCGTTCGTTCGAGAATTGATGTAATTTTTGGGGGTTTTTCTAAATCATAAATGGAAGGAAAAGGTTCCGCAAGGGGCGTTCAAATCGGCGGGAGTTTTTTCTTTAGGCTTTGAGGAAGAGCTAAGGGGCACCAAACACGGCTTTTTTCCCAATACAGAGTTCTCTGTTTAGCTTACCTTTAGCAAAGTTATGTTTCGTAGTAAATGTGCGCACAACGAAATACTCGTTCAGAAATAAAAATCATTGGCTGGGAGGGCTCATTCGTGTGTACCAAATGTTATAATAAATTGCTAAGGGAACACGGCCAAGGAGAGCTGTAGTTTCAGCATATATGGCGCATGCAAAACTTGCTTGCAAAACTTTGTGCGTTTTTATTTTTGTATTTGCTTGTTTCTACTTAAGGAGCTCTTCTTTGACAAAAGTTCCTCTCCCTGTGTTGGTTTTGGATCATACCTCGAATTTATGCAGAAGAGATCATGATACCTGTGAATATGGTGCTTTTTTTTTCAATTCGCTAGGCGCGAAGTTTTCCGTTTTTTCACTTGAAACGACTGTTATTTCAATGGAAGACCAAATTTACGCAATTCTATTCAAGGTACACTATTTTTTGTCTTACTTTATTGTTTATGGTAGGTCCTCTATGCTTTGCCACCCCAGTTTATTCTTATGATCGACGACATCAATACCAGCAATACGAATCTGTGGAAATACGTGGATGACACAATTATTGCAGAGTGTGTTCACAAGAAAGAAGGCAGTCGTATTCAATCTGATGTGGAGGAACTGATTGCTAAGTCTAATCAAAATACGTTCCAGCTAAATGAATCGAAATGTAGGGAACTGCGGATTTCGTTCGCTAAATCAGCCGCGGACTTTGCTCCAATTGTTATCAACGGGAAAGCAATAGAGGTAGTGTCTACTGTTAAGTTGTTGGGGCTAAACATTTCTTCTGACCTTCGGTGGAACTGTCATGTTGCTGAAATAAGTAAAAAGTTGCGAGTCGATTATATTTTCTTAGACAACTGAAGAGAGCGAATATTCCCACCAAAGATCTGCTAATCTTTTACAGGACTTGTATCCGCACAGTAATGGAATACGCATGAACGGTGTTTCACAACGCGCTTCCTGCATATTTATCTGTTGAGTTAGAACAGCTACAGAAACGTGCTATGCGAATTATTTTTCCGTTTGTTCCATATAGCGACGCATTAAATCAAGCCAACTTGGAGACGCTCTCCCAACGCAGGCAGTCTATCACAACTAAGCTTTTTGATTCCATCACCTGTAACTCAGACCATAAACTGTATAAGCTCCTGCCTCCTCAGAACAACTGTGAACTCAATTTGAGACGAAAGAGGAAATTTAATGTTCCTCTGGCTAAGACGAAGAGACTCATGAATACATGAGTACATTTTTCTTATAGTTTTCTCATACTTTTATTAGATTTTACTATTGTAAAGATTAATCTAATTCAGCTTTTGGCTGCGATTTTAATCAGAATAAACTATCTACTATCTACTAGACGATATCGAAGAACTGCATTTTAAAAGAAATCAAAGGAAACTGTGGATAAGTCGTGGATACATTATGTTTGAATGGGTTTTGAAGATAATTTAACTCCCCTTCACATAAACGTACACTTTTACATGTAGACATAGGCAACCAATGAGTAGTTGAAACTACTGATTTAGAATTACTTTGAAATGCTGGGGTGATGTTAGGTGAATAGTCAGAATTCACATTTTGGCTCTCGTTTGACTTGCACCGTTCCTTAAACTTCTTTTTTTTTACCATAAAGGCCTATACTATAGCAGATTTCTAACATAAAATTTGTATTAATGTGCTGCAAATGAAAGACTGGCTGGTTGGCTATCAGTTTAGGTTCCCTCCGTTAACAATAACTCACAACTTTTTTTTTTATTTTTTTTATTTTTTGCACTGCTGTCCAACCCCACCAGTATATTTCATGGGGAATCTTGGGGAGGGGAATGGAGAGGAGTAAGAGAGTGTTTGTGGGAAGGTTTTTGTGTTATTTTAGTAACCAATCGGTGTAGTTATCATGTCTTTGAGTAGCTTCAGAAATAGTAATTTCAGGTACAGGATCAGTTGAATGTATTTCAGCATTACTAGTGCTCGCGTGTGAATTAGTGAGGAATTCTTTCCACTCATTACTCTGATTTGCAAGAACATCGTTAGCTCTAGTATCAGGATTATCAAACCAATTTTCCTTAACTTCTATATGTTCATTTTTAAAAAAACAATTCACTTGTCTTAACAAGGTATTTTGCTGCTTTTAACACTTTTCTTAGCCTAACGTTCTGAAATTGATAATGATGCCTGTAACTCAACCTTCGTTTACGTCTGATGGGGATAGCTGAATTTTAATTGAATTTACATCAGCAGGTACATTAGCAACATTGCCATGAATAGATAATTGTCCACATCTAGGGAGTTCACATATCTGCATAAATAAAACATTCAAGAAGAAATTAATCTTTCTTTTAAAGGTGTCAAGTTTAAACATTGTGGTTTCACAGGGAATCCCATTTTGTTTACTTTATAACAGACTGGTAGCTTCCCATTAGTCAGATTTGATTGGCAATTAGATCAAATCTATTTCATATTATCTATACTAGCAGTAGTAATTGTACATGCATCAAGCAGTGTTTTGGAACATTTACGATATTTGTTTGCTTCACACTTTCTGACAGATGAGCAATATCATAATTGATCACAGGAAATACATTCATAATCAGGACCACACTTAATGTTATCTTGGAAAATTTGAATGACTTCTGTCATTGTTTGCATCTCTTGAGTAGAATCTTGACATTCAAATTCATGTATTTGATTAACTGCCGTACAACTTGGTCTTACAGTAGCTGGATAAAGCAGGTCATGGTCACATGTCTTCAACCCAGACATCAAGGATCTATTTCTATTCTGTGCATTTTTGTTCACTTCTCATTCATGCAAAGTATTACTCTTTTCACTTTTGGCAAATGCCTGCTTATTCAGTTCTCTGATATGATCAGGATTTGATTCTTTGTGTTTATTAAATACCCGCTTTTCTTATGTACATAGAAAACATCAAAATGGATAACTCACTAAAATGGGTTTCCTTCAATGTAGTAAGTGGTCAGATGACAAGCAATGCACTATGGAAGTTAGGTGAGGTATTGCTAATTCACTTTTTTTTTTCCTCAGAGCCGTCGTAAATATTCCCATACAAACTCCTATGAAGATCAACAGCTGATGGACACAGTGGCAAAGTGATTACACATGCTTGTCTCACATGCACAGAAAACAATGAAATCAACAAACATTACCACAGTAAAATGGCGGCTCTTTCACAATTACAAGTTTTTGTCTATAATACATGATAGGGATAAGATTCCTGTAATGTTCCTCAATTATATATCTTTTTGACAGGAAAAATATCATGGTAACAGTAAATTTTGAGGTTAAAGTCAAAGGATGCGACATTTTCGCATCATGTTGCTACTGTCGCACTTCCTATCGTTGATGGCTTTAATGCAAATCTAATGATAGCAAAAGGAAACCTCTCTAAAGAAACTCTCAAGGCTGTGACCAATGAGTTTTCCAAACTTCCAGATGTG